AAACAACAACAAAAAATATAACCCTAAATTGATTATTTCACAATGCATACAGGCATCAAAAGATAACCCCCGTGCTCCATAAATATGTACAATTAGTACACATTGATTAAAAACTAACAAAAAGAATGTTCTGGTAGAGGGAGGTGTGACAGGAACCAGGAAATGTGCAGAATGCCTCTTCTCCATCATGTGCTTCACCAGATTTACTGCTCTGCCACAGGTCTGAAGCAACAGGTCCCAAAGAATATGGACTAAAATCTGCAAAGACATGTGCCTGGGTAAACCTTTCTGTTTTATAAGTTGCTGATCTTGGGGATTTCTTTTTTTTTTTTGGTCGGTCATGGGGCTTGAACTCTGGGCCTGGGCGCTGTCCCTGTGCTCTTCAGCTCAAGGTGAGCGCTCTACCACTTGAGCTACAGTGCCACTTCCCGTTTTCTAGTGGTTTATTGGAGATAAGAGTCTCATGGACTTTCCTGCCTGGGCTGGCTTTGAACTGAGATCCTCTGATCTCAGCCTCCTGAGTAGCTAGGATTACAGGCGTGAGACACCGGCGCCCAGCCTTGGGGATTTCATTAGTGATATCTCAGGTTTCTCCACTATAAAGTGACTTTCTGGCCTTCTTTCCCACTCTGTGCTTTCTGGAAGATTGCCACTGTGCCCAGTCCACACTCAACGAATGGGAGAAACTACATGTTATTTGGAGTTGCCCAGCATGGGGGATTTGTCTCTTTTCCCATTTATTTATTCATTTGTTCATTCATTTATTCAATTGTTGATTTGTTTCAGTATGGACTCCTGGGTATTGTTAGCAGTTTTTGTTTTTTGGTTTTTTCTTTTTTTTTGTCAGTCCTGAGGCTTAAACTCAGGGCCTGGGTACTATCCCTGAGCTTTTGTGCTTAAAGCTAGAGCTCTACCACTTTGAGCCACAGTACCACTTGTTTTTCTGGTGGTTAAGTGGAAATAAGAGTCTCATGGACTTTACTACCCAAGCTGGCTTTGAACTGTGATCCTCAGATCTCAGCCTTCTAAGTAGATAGGATTACAGGGGTGAACCACCAGTGCCTGACAACAATTTATCCCTCAACTCCCCAATCCCCGAATCCCCCCCACTCCCAGCCCCTTTGGAAAAACAATAAAAGGCTGCCAAACATTTTCATGAACAAAAATCCTTCACTCTGGGGCTGGGAAGGTGGCTCAATGGTGAGCTTGCTTTTGCATGCATAAGGTTCTGGGTTTGATTCCTCAGCTACCACATAAGCAGAAAAAGCTGTAAGTGGTGCTATGGTTCAAGTGGTAGAGTGTTTGAAGAGCTGAGAGACAGTGCCCAGGCCCAGAATTTAGGCCCCATGACCAACCAAAAAAAAAAAAATATATATATATATTTCCTCTACCCAGTTAGAAATTCATCTTGGGAATGTGATAAATCTGTGTAGCCAGGCACTTCATAAGAAGGATTGATACAATCTAAAATGGTTGACTCAATAGATTAAAAAACTTCCCCAGGGGCTGGGAAGGTGGCTCAGTGGTAGAGCGCTTGCCTTTCATGCATGAGGCCCTGGGTTCGATGCCTCAGCACCACATAAGCAAAAAAAAAAAAAACAAAAAACGCTGGAAGTGGCACTGTGGCTCAAGTGGTAGAGCGCTAGCCCTGAGCTGAAGAGCTGAGGGACAGTGCCCAGGCCCAGAGTTCAGGACCCATGACCGTACCCAAAAAAAAAAAACAAAAAAAAAAACTTCCCCAACATTTGCTTAATCTAATCAATCCTACATTTCAAGAAGGAAAAGAAACTGAAATGCAGTCTTTGTTTCCAGTTGCTTTTAATATCATAGCAGAATAGAAACAAGCCTAGGGAAAAACAAAAACAATTACCTCAGAACCTACTTTAGACCACAAAAACAAAAAGTGCTGGTGGCGGGGCTGGGAAGATGGCTCAGTGGTAGAGCGCTTACCTTGCATGCCTGAGGCCCTGGGTTCAATTCCTCAGCACCACATAAGCAAAAAGAAAAAAGCCGGAAGTGGCGCTGTGGCTCAAGTGGTAGAGTGCTAGCCTTGAGCTGAAGAGCTGAGGGGACAGCACCCAGGCCCAGAGTTCGGGCCCCACGACCGG